TTTGCAGAGACGACTTGTGAAAAAAATTACATCAAAACGTTTGAGTCTGCGCGCCGGCAGTCTTGGGAGCAGGGACAGCGATAACCTGGGTTGCAGTTTTCGTCAAACCGAACGGCGTTGGCCGCTGCAAGTAACATAGGGCGGCGACGCCGTGCGCGCGACAACGACCGTCGTGGAATATTGGTTCTGAATATCTTGCAAAATGTATTCGTGCCGTCCAAGGGCGTCTTTTCTCAACTTTGAGGGTGTCTTCTGGACAGATTAACAGTTAAAGGAACGCGAAAACGAGATTTCACCTTTACTCTTCCAGGTCCACCAACAGACAGTACCACTTCGGGGTGCTGTAAAGCCCAATCCGATGCATCATCAAGCCACAAATTGCACAGCTTTTTTTGTACGCCCGGACTACCTTCCAAATGTACAATTTGATTCCCTGAAGCGTCCAAAGGTACTTCATTCAGATGTGCTCTCATTTCCATCCACCCGTTGGCCATAGCTTAGCGTCAGCCGAGGAGCCAAAACTGCGCGGCATATGGTGACTAAAACGCCAGGCGTCGTAGTTTTTGTTGCCAATATTTGTGAACGTGCATGCTCAAAACCACATTGCATGATTCGGATCACAAATCCGTCCTCACCAAATGTCGAGCATTTCCGACCAAACATGGCTTGGCCATGTTCATGCAAACTGTTGAAACGTTGTCAACTACAACTTGCATTCGCGGTATCTAACGTGTCTGTACAACCCAGATAACAATTTCGACAAAGCTTATGAGCTCTTTTGGTTTACAGAGTCCACCGGACCACTGTAAAATTAAGAGCGCAGGTGATTGATTCCATGCATTCGCTTAACGCATGACTTCCTCAGTTTCTTGGTCATAAAATTCAGGCATAATTGATTTCGCGGCAGCTTCTGGCTTCTATTCAAGTTCTAGAAGGTTCACATAAAAATCAAGGAAAACATTTCCTCATTAGCAAATGGGCAATATCCAGCGATTTTTCGGGGTGACCACTTTACTATCGAGGTCCATGTCTTGTCAACCAAATTTCCTACCACTTGCCAAAGCCCTGGTTGCTCGACTAACCATAAGTACAATGACATAAAACTATACATGCAAAAAGGCATGGCTGGAATTTCCCGGTAGCATTTTAACCACCGCCCGTTAATTCTGCCATCGCTTATCAAACAGGGAAACAGGGTGCATTTTTCGGGCAGCACCGACAACGGCATTCCCTGGTAACAGGTTGGGAGCATGAGCCCGCGGTATAACGCGAAGAAAACGCATCATACAATGCCGTGCTGCAGTCACACTTGTGTTCGACTCGAGCTGAATTGTAAGTGGGCTCACGAGTCATTCGTTTTGGGGTGAGTTGCGAGCTGAGTCAATTCGCCAGGAGAAATGCCGCTTTGAGCAATGAGTTGAATCACATTCTTTGTCAATTTCATGAGCTGAATGATGAGTCGATCTTTTCAAACAAGGTCGCCTCAGTGAGTCAAATTGCTCAAATTAAAATGGTAACATGAGGAAACATAGCGTGCCCAGAAAAACGAGAAAACCATTTCAGTGCTAAAATGAACAACATGCAGCATTAATAAGACGTTCTCTGCGAAATCGGCCAAAAGTTTGTTATGGTCAGTTCTAAGCAGCAAGCACAATATTGTTGATTCTGATCTAGTTTGCCAAATCTCAGCCAAGAACCAGAGAACATCACATGATACACACATCCTGCATTTCTATATCCTATGCTGAAATCGTGTGAATCGGATCCAATCGGATCCCAAAATCTGTGAGCCGGTCCTGAGCCGGGTAAAGAAAACTGGAGTCGAACACAGGTCTGGCTGCAGTGGCAATCTCTTTTACAGAGCGGCTGCCAGCTCCCGTCCGGTTGCTTCTTAATCACGCTTACTGTACCGATCCACGCTGGTACAGGGGCGCTTCATTTAAATGCTGCGAGCTTTCTAGCAGATCTGTCACCAGTAGTGGCACGCGCGGAGCAGGGAACTATTTCGGGCATCCCTTCCAATGTCACAGCATTACACAGAAGCTCGAGGCCTGTCGCTGGACACTGGGCTTCAAAAGTCGATAGTTGGCTGCCGTCACCAGCCGGGTTAAGACACTCTGGCGCGGCACAACATGCCAGCGCTGGCTGCCAACCACCAGGGGTCTCTGAACTTATCACCACAACAATCAGAATGGACCGTTCCCTAGTATTCGGACCGAACGAGCAGCTTGAATGTGAGCGAGTGGGCTTCGCCGACCGACGGGCTGGGCTTCGCTACACGCAGTGGCCTCGGAGGAAGCACGGGAAGTGAAGGCGTCACGCGCTCTTCCGGAAATGATTTGTTGTCACGGTGATTCGTCCCACGCCGAGACCGCGACAAATGGGCGCACCGCTAGAGCAGAAAGCTCCTGTCGTCATTCCGCGACCGAACTAACTGTGCGAGTCTTTACCGCCGCTAAATCACGCACCTAATGCCTATCACCGGCGTCGGACCGGAAACAAGCGGCCTCAGTGACTCGGGGGGACACAGTACGGCGGGCTGACGGTGGGGGTTTGAAACCCTCTGTACTTCCCAGATCAAGGACGCAGGCCTCGTTATAACAATCAGCGCCTTACGATTTCACGGCCGATTAAAAACTCCCATAGACGCGCAAAGCAGGTACATAACAGGACAGGTGCACGTGCGGGAAAGTGTGATTTCCGGCTTTGTTCCTCCAAATTGCAACACACAGTTTCAGAACACCGATAATGCTTTGGCTACGTCAAAGTACACCCTGTCATCCTTCCATTACATAACTCACGTTTTGCTTCCCGTACCATTGCAACTGTGTTATTTTTCCACGACAGGCTGAGAATAGCAGATGTCGCAGGCGTCGCAAGTCAGCGTACTTGTGACGCCATCAAACGCGCCAAGGCCCGCTTAAAAGGGCTCTTACAAACGTCATCCATCCGTCTGTGAACAACCGCCATTTTCCTCCGTTACGTAACCGGTACTTGCTTCCCCTTGGAAAACGCTTTCCTTCCTATGGAAACTGGGCCTCTGGTCCTGGTTATGTCTCGCAAACACCGCTCTCACAATAAGTGTGCAGACCGTCGACAGTACGTCCTCCGGCTGACGCACAATTGCAGCGCGCCTGTCTTCCGCGGCTCTGGGCGTCCTCCCCGGCCGTCCCCCTCCCCCAGCGTTACGGCGCCAGGCCGGGCGGCAGCGGGCCCGCGCCCCCCCTCCTCTCCCGGGCGGGAGGCGGGTGGCGACGCCAACCCACCTGTCTGCAGCAGGACGCCGTAGCAGTTCGCGATGCCGGCCAGCTGGCTACCGAGCGAGCCGGCCAGCGTGTCCAAGTCCGAGTTGAGCGGGCCGTAGAAGGCGCACGCCACCACTGGCTCGGGGAGCGACAGCAGACCGCCGCCGGCGCCGCCGCGGCCTTCGTGGCGCGCGTACAGCGCCAGCAGCAGGGCGGCCGGGCGCGGCCGCACGCTGAAGAGCATAGCGGGTGCGGACGCCGAGCGCCGGGCCGCATCGTCCGTCGCCGGCTCCACTCGCGTCCGTCGGGGCCGCCGGCTCGCGCCTCCGCCGGCGGTCGATCAATGGAGGCTGCGGCCCGGCCCGGCCCGGTGGATGGCGGAGCGGTGCGCCGTCGCACGAGGTTACGTTGCCCAGCGATTAATCTAATAATACGGGCGCCATGGCCGGACGGCCGGTCTTGGAGTTCAGTCACTGGCTGCCAACGACAACACAGGCGCGAGCGACGCCAGGCCCGCGAATCTCGGCCTATCAGACCCCGAACGCTCGCCCGCACGCTCGGTCCGTGCAGCGGCGATCGATCGCGAAACACGCGCCGCACGGGCGTCCACCGCGGCGCGGGAGGCCACCGACTCACTGCTGCCCGCGGTTCAGCGTCGTCGCCGCGGCGCGGGAGGCCACTGACTCACTTCTGGCCGTGGTTCAGTGCCGCCACCGCGGCGCCGGCCGTGCCCGCCGCGCCCCGCCGCCGGTGCCGGCGGGCGCCGCCGCACGCCGCTTAGTGGCGCCGCTCCGAGCCGTGCCGGCTGCTGCCGCGGCCGCAGAGCTAGCCGCCGGCGACTCGACTCGGCCGTCGACTGAGCGCCGCCTGACCTCGGCGCCGCGAGGCAGCGGCGCGCGGGATGCGCCGGTCGATGGCGTATCGACGCGCGGGGGCGGCAGCGGTCAGCACGCACCGGCGCGCCCCGCCCCCCGCAGCGCCACGACAGGCGCCGGTCGACACGAGCACACCGCCACCCGCGCACGCCAGCGGCCGGGCGACGTGACCCGCGGCACGCGACGCTGGCCTCTGACGGCGGGGTGGACCAGCGGCGACGGTAACCCGCCCTGGGAGCGCCGCGGAGCTAGCGTCCGCGGGACGGGCACGTGCCAGCTCTATAGGATGCGAGAGGAGCGCGCCAATGTCGATGCCAAACTTGGGGCAGTCCATGATGGAATGCTGGCCCACCTGGCCGTGGTTGCAGCCAAGCATCGACGCACCAACAACCGGACGTGCAACAACGCAGGAGCTAAGAGCTGGGCTAGAACCGTGTCCACGAAATCCTCAGACGTCGGTTGCAGTATAGGTTGCAATCGCGACGAATGCGACGAACGTCTGTGCCCTTAGGCCGGCGGCAGGTGCGGTCCATGAAGGGACCAGCGGGCGGAGGTCGACCGCCCGTTCGGCCAGGTACGGATGACGCCACGCGGGCGGATGGGCTGGATGGACGCTGGTCGTGGCACCAGCCTGTCCGGATAACAGGAGGCGGCCACGCTGAACGGAACTGATCCCTCCATTGAACGAGCCATGCTCCCGTCACCTCCGCACGCGTCGCGTTTGATCATTTAGTTTCCATAAATTAATGATAGGCAAGGGCCGCCAGGGGCCGAGACGGCGGGATGTGTGGTCGCTGGGAGGCTGACTGCTGGCAGGCGGGTGTCGAGCGTGGAAGCACGCCACCCTCACGGCCCACGCACAGGCCGACTGGGCACTGACCTGCAGGGCAGAGGGGCGCCGGCTGGAGGGATGCTTCCCAGGCGGCCTCCAGGCAGGTGCCGGGCAGCAGGTGGAAAGTGAACACCCACTGGCCGTCCTGCAGGAACAGCTCAGCAGTAGACATGGGCGTGCGCTCCACATCGAGCCGGCGAAGCCGCACACGCCTCCGCTGAAACACGACATGTCACTTGAACCAGAGCCAGTACAGCACAGGCCTGATCTGAAATGGTGTGCAGAACATTACCCGACACAGGCACAGTACAGGTGCTGAACACTAACAGATGGGACACACGTGGTTTAAATGACAATGATGGGGAACTAATATTTGGCACTTGAAGGAATTTAGTCATGTGTTGTTATGCCATGGTGGCTAAGTTGGTTAGACCACCCAACTTCTGATCCACCCACCCATGGTGCAATGGCCACCCATGGTGGGATGGGTTTAAGTTGCTTTAGGCACTTCCTATTTGGCCTTGACAGGTATGGCCTGCAGCCAGTGGCAGCAGTCATCTGCAGCATCAGTATGAAGTCCTCTAAGTCAATGAAATAATGTAGATTTAGAGGGGATTTGATAGAGGTTTTCATGATTGTGGAAGGGATACATAAGGCACATCTACAAGAAGCACTGGAAATTAGGCATATACTTAAAGAAAATCAGTTCCAGTTAGCAAAATGCAGGTGCAGAACTATGAAGAGGCAGATGTTATTTAGTCTAACAGGACTGACTCATTAGAATGGGCTGCCAAACAAAGTTGCAGGAAGTCCCCCTCTAACAGCATTTAAAACTGTCTGGACAAGTTCTGTAGGTCTAAGGATCTCTGCCATAGCTCAATTGAGGCATGTCAGGCAGTAAGACTGATTTAAGGATACGTGAGAAATATACCATGTAAGAGCGTGCTTATTTCACTCCTATCAGCAAATCTATGCTGCTAAAAGTAGTGGAATTATTTCCTGTCAACAACAGCAGTATTCTATAACTTTGTGCAGTACACACATACTTTTTACCACTCACACTCCCATGATATTACTCAAGTGATGCTGAAGTACTGGAGTTTGCTGAATAGTGGGGTTCAGAGGAATTCTGATTTGCTCCCATCCATCCACCAGTTATGTTAAGTGAGTGCTTTATTTTTTCTAAATATTGAAGGAATTAACCAGCCAAGATACTCAAAATACTACAGCTGCTCTGTCCTCTATGGCCAGACCAGGCAGGCATCTCTATGCATGTAAAATAAAGATTGACACTACCTTCAATATCCAAGGCCACATATCAATCACTCTCATGCATTATGCAATACTTGGTAAACTAGCATTAAATGCTAGAAACCATCCATCTTCACTCCATGCACATGGCCTAAGACCGTGCACGTGGCCTAAAAACAATGTCAAAGCATGACATCTTCTTTCTATAATGCACCACAGTCTCTTTGAACCTGGCCTCCCAGTCAGGTCCTCCAGCACAGTGTTTGATTGATTTTAAATACACTCTTTAAGACAAACTATGCTATCCTGTCTGTTCATAAGTATCATCACTGTCTGCTATCAAAATGCAAATTCTGTCACCCATCCTCTTGCCGGCAACTACATATGAAGTTTTCCAACCAGACACAAAATAAAATTATCAGCTTGCCACATAAGCAAGTTCTTTCATGATTACATCAGCTGATTTTCTTCTACAGCTTTCAAGACAATTCTCTCAAAAGATTGTCCAAAGTGTTTGAAATGGAGACTGCAGTTGCTGGTTCTAGTGGTTAGGTTGGAACAGAAACAGGGACACGGCCAGGATTTTTCTGAGGGTAAAGACCAAGAATTAAGCGTGAACTCATTACTCTGACTTTACACTTTTGAAGAGCCACCCAAGGGCATCACTTCTAAATCATAGTAGGCTCAGCCTAAAGCTTAACCTAACCTAACCCACACTTGACTTCCCCTGGATTTTGGCTACTTGAATTTGCCCTGCTGCTGTGAAAGTGAAAACTTCAAATAATTCACAACCTCAAAATGTTTTTTTGTGCAGCGGAACGATACTCTCCAAATAGACATCACTCACTTTGCAGGCTTTCCAGTGCCCGTTCGATCTGTCGTCTATTGTTGTTTATTGGTGTTTTGGGGGGCGTCGACTGCAATGGTCACTTTGCGCCCAGATCTGTCGTCAGTACGATTGTCAGCTGGAAGGCGTGACGTCATGTGTACTGACGGTGCATTCGCTCCCGACAGATCCAGCACGATGATCAGCTGGAGGGCGTGACGTCATGCATGCTGACGGAGCGTTCGATAGGTGGGCTGACGGGAAAGCTTTTTTCTTTACTTTTCCTTTTTAATTTACCTTTTAGTTCAGACCACACACACAAACACACACACACACACACACACACACACACACACACACACACACACACACACACACACACACACACCACGGGCCATGTTCGCCCTGTCGTTAGCACGTTTGTCGGCGCCAATCATGGTCCAGTATTTACCTACGTGACATGACCAGAAAGTCATGCCGCCTGTTACATCACGCCCGGGTGACGATGCCGGGTTTTTGTCAGCCCGTCAACATGGAGAGAAAGCGCTATCAGATTTTGTGTTAAAAGGTCACTGCGGGGAGAGTTTGACTTCGGACACTTGCGTTGGCGAGTATGCTATGTAAGGTGGCGCCCTTGTGTCTTAATTTGGGGGTCATGCAACGTAAGAAAGAAGGGTAGGGAACTAAAATGCCAAGAGTACCCATGAAAAGGTGAGTGACAGTCATTGGTGTTGTGTGTAGTTGCGTTACGCAGTAAATTAGTAGTGTTACAAAAAAACATTCAAAATGAGAGGGCCGAAATTGAAATTAACTGGAAATGGGGAGAAACACTCAACATGCGGATGGAATAGATGATGGTAACATCGGAACAGGGGCCACACTTCCAAACACCACTTTGTACGTAGTGTGTCGGCGGTAAGCCAGAGTTAGTTCGTGGTATGAAGTAAAGGGTAAGGAAAGAAGGGAAAGTATAGTTCAGAAACTTTCCAGTAAGCCCACACATCGAACGCACCGTCGGCATGCATGACGTCATGCAGTCCACCTGACAATCGTGCTGAGAACAAATCGAACAGACCCCAAAAATCCTGGCATAAGCGCTAGCCAAGTGTGACGTCATGAGTCATATGTCTTTATGATCACGGGATTTGACGTAGGTGAATACTGCACCGTGATTGGTGCTGACAAACGCGCTGACGACGATCGAACACGACCTTGGTAAGGATTTGTACTAAATGTTCTCGAGGATGTGCTGTCGTGCCTCACGCCGAGTGCTTATCTGGATATACTAAGGGGCGTCCCTGAAAAGCTTGCTTCGTGGGTATTTTATTACTACCTCTGTTCTTGAAGTACCTTGAAAATTATGTGCAACTGTGTACTTATCATAAGATGCACGAAACACGTAATACAAGCGATCGCTCATGTCTGTTACCGCGCGTGCGGCCGTCCCGGCGTTAAAAATGAACCTGGGGTGACGTCCTGAGGGTATCTTCGCTCAGAAGTACATGGTTGGGACAGAATCACTATCAGATGGATTAAAACGCCTTGAATCTAACCTTGAATGGTAGCGTTTTACAGTAATTTTAGTGGTTGATTATGAAAAGTGGCTGTCTGCCAGGACAAATCTTGGATTTTTAAAAAAAAGAATTGGTGCATTGACCTGACACAGGATTCCTGAATCAGTGGTGAATCCAGTGCTGAAGGTTCCATAGCAATCAGTGCCAGAATCTGAGATCTGAGTTGTTTGATTTGGATGTTAAATTGACTCACAAGTAAATAATCCATATTTAAACTAAAACTTAATGAGAAGTTGTTATATCCCATATTTAGAATCCATGTGATGACTACAAAAAAACATAACTAAGACACTAGCTGCCATCTACCTTCCTCTGCATCTCAAAAGATGAGCTCTTAAGGATGACCACAACTTGTAAGATTGATTGCTGTGAAGATTATTGTTGCTGAGAACTATGGGGCTATTTTACCAGTATCTCCTGATGTGTTGAACTTTTTGGCACAGCATGATAACTTTGAACTCATAATGCTGAAAACCAGGAGCTGAAGGTCATTTTTCATGATAAGGTAAAGTTATGACCATGGCCACAGAATTATGTGGACAAAGTCTAAAGAAATGTACCTCGGAAGAAGGATGGGTAAGGATTATGGGCTTTAGCCCCTGCCCCCCAAATGAAAAATCAAAAGTTCCACCCCTGCTCTGAAAAGCATTGTCAGCTGCAAGGTAGAGATCACAGGTGATACCATGATGAAATGTGATACTGAAGCTTCATGCATTGTGGTCATAGCTTCTGTGGTCATAGCTTCTTGTTCACACTGGCAGTTTTATCAGTTAGGGGGCAGCTATAAGAAGCTACATGAATGAAAATAGCCTTATTTCTCTCATTTAGCACTTAATTATTTTCTCAAACTCTTTGGGGATTTTAAACCTCATGCTAGCTTTTTAATTTCAAACCTATAAAACACTTTTTCCATCACTTTTGTTAATTGTCTGAGTTGTCAGTCATTATGAATCATCTGGGTGTTCCAGTGGGCAGAGGTATAGTGCACCATCCAACATCTTAAACTCCTCTCATTCTCTTTTAGATATGACTGCAGAAACAGACTCATGGATGGTCCCTTTGTGCACTATGGTGCTTGGCATGGGTGAAATGATAGAGCCACTTGGGCTTAAAATAATGCTGGTGAGGTGGTGTAAGTTAGGTACATACCTTATATAGTTGAACTTGTTTCTATAGCCTGTAGATGAATAATGAGTAATCCAGACTCTTGGCTGTTTCAGCAGCATTTCATCCAATAATCAGCAGCTGCTATCTCCATTCAGAACAGAATATTGACTGGATATTGATTTGTCCATAGATATTGGCTGCTATGGTGTCTTGTTTAGCCCTCAACTCTTCTTATGCCAAAACTAGGTTAATCAGTTATATTTTTGCTCCTTACTCAGATACCTCCAGAATGTTTGGGAGCATGGTGTGTTCAAGATGGGCATTTGGTCCTTACTCCTTTACTAAATTTATACATGCATTGATGTGCATGTAAATAAATGTCCACAGCCATAAGATAGAGTGAGTCATGTAAAATTTAAAAGATTAAAACCCTGAAAGGTCAGTTATACCAGTCAAGAAGTTTTTCCTTCATGTTATGTGTCAAAATGTTTTGTTTTAGCACAACACATTGTTTTGAACTAAATGTGTTAGCTCTGCCTATTTCGAAATCCTGCAGATGCACCTGTTTTGTATTTCAAAATCCTGCAGATGCACCCATTTTGGATTATCATAAAGAGGTCTATCACCTGGAGCTGTGCTTTCAGATGTGAGGGCCTGATGGTGATCTATTCCCAACAAACCATAACTGGAATATGTATGTTGCCAGGACAGGTCAGGTACAAAGAGGTGCAACTTTCCAATACAACTCAGTGAAGCTGCTTACCTGAAGTTTAAAACCAGACATCTATAACATCCTAACCCAACTCTATATTTGCTTATGCCTGTCATGGACTGCATACAAAGCAAGTCCATGTCTGAGCCCTCAGGCCACTGAGCACAAGTCTTTCCATGCCAGCGTGATCCCATTGGTGTCGTGACAGTGTCTCAGATCTCAGACTTACCCCCTTTGGTGAGTCTGGAATCATAGAACCATCTGTGAGATGCAAATGTACATAGCTGCCACACACAAAAGTCAGTTGCTATGCCATATGTTGGCCCTGCTGGTATACCTATGTGCCATATGTTCAGTTTTCAGGTCAGCAGGAAGCAATGGAGAAAATAAATTTGGACGCCCCAAGATGGGACCAGAGCACGTATCTTGGTCGTGCTAAACACTTCTTAATTATCACCAATCCTCTCAACGTGTTTGCAAGTTCTGCTGAGCTTGATGCTGCCAAAGACATTGTGACTAAATATAGGTGAGTTGCCAGGTAACTTTGTTCACTTGTAACTTTGTTCAAATCTATGAAGATCTTATGGGCACTTTGATGGTGGCTACCTCCACATAAGATCCCACAGATAATATTTTATGTCACAACATTGGATTCTTTGTTTTTATTGTCTTCAAGCATTTATTTGTCTTAGCTTGTTGCCACATCACTTACCATCAGTCAGCTGTTTTATATTGCATGGCAATTTGGACCATTCTGTTGAGAAATGTTAAGTACATTCAAAGCCCCAACCTTCCCTGTACAAGAATTGCAGGCACAGACACAACAACTCTGGTTGGCTGCTCATATATGCAAATGCAGAGGCGAGTAGTGTCACGTTCATCCAGCTCCTGTTTAGATAGGTGACCTGTGTTGTGCTGATCACTTCCCAAACATTAATGGCTGGAGTCATCTGTTAAGTTTTTGTCGCAAGACTAATAGGCATCGAGTTGTTGTTGATGAGTCATTGACAGTGGCATGTTGATGTATGTTGCTCCAGTGAGTGTTCAGTGACCATTTGCTTGCTCTGCTGGGGTGGTTTGTGTGCTGCGTCGCGATGCGCGGTGTGGGCTGTAACACCGGGCGTCTGCTCTCTGGACCAGGGCTGGTGAGCAACTGAAGCTATCCACCGACGACCTATGGCGGGCCAAGACGCTGTACGACTCGGCCTTCCACCCGGACACGGGCGAGAAGATGCTGCTGGTGGGCCGCATGTCGGCGCAGGTGCCCTGCAACATGTCCATCACCGGCTGCATGATGACGTTCTACAGGCGAGTGTTGTACCCATATGGGTAACTGCACAGCAGTCGATGCATCGGGTGAAGCTGCCCGATGTCCACAGGCTTTTGCCTTGCACTGCCTATTATGGGCTAGGCTTTTGCCTGCTTGGTAATAAGCTTTGTCCTACTCGGCTTGTTACCCATGCTGTTTGTTTCAGCTGATATCAGTTTCTTGGGGGACAAAATGTTGAGTTTGTTTTATTTTAGTGTCTCCATCTCACTAAATTTTTAGGAATATATATACATATATATATATATATATATATATATATATATATATATATATATATATATATATATGATATGCATAGTTTGAGCAAGGGATGGTACAGATACATCAGCTGCCCCACAGTTTGAAGAGCTGGTCCCAATGTCTAACATATGATAAACCATGCAAGCTGGATGTGTTGTCCAGTGTTGTTTCAGCGAGATGTTTTGTTCTCTGACTGCTTGAAGTGTCCCAAACATTTGCTTGTCTTTGCAGGACTACCCCGGCCGTTGTATTCTGGCAGTGGGTCAACCAGTCTTTCAACGCTCTGGTCAACTACACGAACCGCAGCGGCGATTCGCCCATCTCTGCCAAGTCAGTTGCGGTTATTCTGCGTGGGCCTTTGACATGTGTTTCTGTTTTGTTGGCTGAAAACGACTGTTTGCCATTGAAAAGGATCTGTACTAAGTTTGCTGTTGCAGAGTGAATATTAATGTAACTAGTCCAAGCTGCCCATCACTAACCAGATTGAGTTGTCATCGAAAGCAGGAGCTGCGGTGCAGTAAGATGTGTGCTGTTGCCTTCGCGTCGGTCACTGTTTGCTATCGGCACCGCGTGAGAGGCCCATTGGAGGCATTTACTAATCGTTTATGCCGCCGGACTATTGCTTTACTTGAAGTGGTGCCAGGCATAACAGTAAGCCATCGGCCTTTTTGGTACATCGCCGCTCACTAGCGTGTAAAACGTTTCACTTGCGTTTGTAAGCTGACATCAGCGTTTTGTGCCGCTCGCAGGCAGCTGGGCACGTCATACGTGTTGGCGACCGGTGGAGCCCTAACCACCGCGCTGGGACTTAACAGCCTTGTGAAGGTGCGTGTTAGAGACGGACAAGACCCCTTGTGTTGCGTTACTCTCGTTCCATTGCATCGTTATTTAGCACTGGGTCCGACGCGAGCATTACGGCGTTGCGTTGGGTGCCACCAATTAAAACATGGTTCGTCACCTGTGTTAAGGAATTCTCTCATAAATATGAAGATACTTTGCTACGAAATGTTATATAGCTACTGTAACACTGAAGCTGTAGTAAAACAATTGCTCCAACCCCAGGACATTTTCATGAGCTAAACGGAGTATCATGCCTTTTTGTGATTCTCACGTATTGCTACATCAGATGCATACAAATTGATATGTAATACCAGTTTTCGCGAAATCTCTGAACGGCTCAGGATTTTTATTAGAATTTGCTGACCCAGTAGGAAAAATCTCATTTGACCACCTTCTCACCACTATGAAAGTCGTACATTTCATTTGCCATCCTTTTTCCGATGTGTGTTCTTAAATATGTTCACCACACCAATTTGTCAAGGGGTTTGTTTGATAACTGCTTTGAAAGCTTGAAACACGGTTTAGGCAAAAAGATGTGTGAACATGAAGTTTTATGCTGCGAATTCAACGAAACGTCACACTATGGCTTTGGTTTCTCCCCTATTGCGTTAACCATAGTGGCTCTTCGAGGCGCGCTTTGGGTTTGGGAATGGGAGCATCACACGTTCATGTGACTCATTGGTTCAAACTTCAGCCATTGCGCTTCTCGGTAACGGGTCCTCGTCCGTTGGGCCAATGGCAATCGTTCTTTTATCCACACCACTAGAGGTGCGCACGGTCGTTATGACGGCGATGGTCGTGACTGCAGAGAAGAGGAGTGCTAGAAAACGGCTAAATATCATATCTTTATTATGTCTTGATGGTGCTGCAGCAACGTTAGCCAGCGCTGTTATTAGATGCGACTAATCTTGAGGTTTCACTGGACTGTATTTCTCAAATATGTCCCAAACGTGGGACACGCCCTTTGAGAAAGAAGTTTCGCAATAGTGGAGCAAGTTTGCAGTGATCCAGACTTTTCCAGCGCGTGATGTACAATCTCCAGCCGTGTTACCAGATGTCCGACTTGTTGCCAGACGGCGCCTCCACTGGTGGGAAAGCTGGTACCGTTTGCCGCGGTTGCAGCAGCCAACTGTGTCAACATACCCATGATGAGGTCCAAGTAAGTATCGCTTGCATGGAAAATACAGATGGATGGTGTTGGTTACCGGTTAGCTCTTTTTGCTCTTTATTTGAGACCTTCACTAGTTTGCGTGCGTGCGTGTAGATGTGTGTGTGTGCGTGTTTAATTGTGTTCTGTTCTGTATATAACTGTTACGTGGGCAATCAGGAAGAGCTGGTGAGCCAAAGCTAGCAAATCAGCCTCACTCATTCTTTGATGACTATTAGCATGCGTAACCTAATGAGGGACAGTCCCCGACTACTTGGGTCAACCCAGGCAGCGCCACGCGGCATCCCCAGGTACCTGACTCATTGATTGTCACCAAACAGTGACCTGGTAAGCGCCCTCGGGTTTTGACCCTGCAGGTGTCCGCAGGTAGCTGATCCGATGGGCGTGACAGTGTGGTTGGCTCATTGAGCATCCCCAGACGGCCTACCCAGTGAGCATACTCAGACAACCCACCCAGTAAGCATCCCCAGACAGCTTACCCAGTGAGCGTCCTGAGACAGCTTACCCAATGAGCATCCCCACACAGTTTATCCAGTGAACATCCCTAGACAGCTTACCCAGTGAGCATCTCCAGACAGCTGACACATTGAGCATATTCAGACAACCTACCCAGCGAGCATCCCCAAACAGCCTACCCAGTGAGCCTCCTCAAACAGCTCATCCAGTGAGCATCCCCAGACAGCTCACCCAGTGGGCATACCCAGACAGTTTACCCAGCGAGCATCCCCAGACAGCTCACCCAGTGGGCATACCCAGACAGTTTATCCAGTGAACATCCCTAGACAGCTTACCCAGTGAGCATCTCCAGACAGCTGACACATTAAGCATATTCAGGCAACCTACCCAGTGAGCATCCCCAGACAGCCTACCCAGTGAGCCTCCTCAAACAGCTCATCCAGTGAGCATCCCCAGACAGCTCACCCAGTGGGCATACCCAGACAGTTTACCCAGTGAGCATCCCCAGACAGCTTACTCAGTGAGCATCCCCAGACAGCTGACACATTGAGCATATTCAGACAACCCAGTGAGCATGCCCAGACAGCTTACCCAGTGAGCCTCTTCAGACAGCTCACCCAGTGGGCATACCCAGACAGTTTACCCAGTGAGCATCCCCAGACAGCTTACTCAGTGGGCATCCCCAGACAGCTGACATATTGAGCATATTCAGACAACCCAGTGAGCATCCCCAGGCAGCTTACCCAGTGAGCCTCTTCAGACAGCTTACCCAGTGAGCCTCTTCAGACAGCTCACCCAGTGAGCATCCCCAGGCAGCTCACCCAGTGAGCGTCCCCAGGCGGCTGACCCGTTGAGCGTGCCCCTGTCGGCTGCCCCAGCTCCGGCCGTCGGTGCCTGACCCGCCAGCGTTGGCAGGGAGCTGACCGACGGCATCACGCTGGTGGACGCCGACGGCGCCCGGGTGGGCCAGTCGCGGGCGGCGGCGCGCGAGGCCATCACCATGGTGACCGTCAGCCGCATCCTGATGGCGGCGCCGGGCATGGGTGAGTCCGCCGGCGTCCCTGCCCCGACCCCGGTCCACTGATGCCGTCCGTCGCCTGTCCTGCAGAGAGATAGCGGACGGCATTCAGCTGTTTGACGCCGACGGCAATAGCGTGGGCCGCTCGCCGCGCACCGGCCGCTGGGCCATCGCCATGGTCATCGTGTCGCGTATAGGCATGGCCGTGCCGTCCATGGGTACGCGCCGACCGGCCGGCCGGACGGCCAGGCCCGCCGCCGGTGATGCGTGGCCTGGCCGCATGCGTAGCGTAGCTGTCTGCGTGTCTGGTAGTTGGGCCCGCCGCGACGCGCACCACGAGTTGCTTGTCTGATACTTATGGTTCGGCGTTGCTGTTGATCCGTGTTGCCTGAAGCATCACCACCCCCTGCCGCCCCGCCACCTCACTTAGGTAGTCGGACCAATGTGGTTGGTGTGAGCGGAAAGCACTATAATATTGTGTTTGCTTGCATGTCAATTCCACGACGTAGTTGTGCACAAGAAGTCTGCATGAATGTTCTGTCTGCAAGTGTGCTAGAAATGCATGCATGTGCTATCATTAATTGTTCATAAAGGTGCCGCTGATTTCCGAAAATCTTACAACCCGCGCACCTAGAGATGCAGAGTTTACTTATTCGCTCGCCGTGCGCTATAAACGTTCCCTCACGTTCGTAGTTTTGTCTCGTCTCAAAATGTTGACCCGATGAGCGTATGGGACGTTTAGCATTTTAGGGTGCAAAATGTCCTTAAAATGTGTTGAATGTTCAATGTTTAGTGCTCAAAATATCCGGAGTGATACCGGTTTCCTTAAGATTAAAACGCGCAACACTGAATTTCTGGAAAATCATCTAAGCAAACACCATACTTTCATATGCGTTGCATATATCCTGTCTATATAATTTGGCGGTTTCTAACTGAACTTATTACGTGCCAGCTCCCTGCCTCCTTGTCTCTTTTCTGATACCCGCGTTTTTTCAACCACTACTGAGGGATTTGCAGGAATAGTGGTTTGTGGATAGGTATTTGAAAGAACGCGGGGCGTAGTTTACCTGTTGAGTGTGTCTACGTAGTCTGTTTTGTTTAAACCCAAACGCCTCGTAATATCATCAAGAACGTATTAATTGAAATCGTGACGTAGAAAGTGGTTTGGTCTGTTCACAATCCGCCGGGAACAAAAATGTTCGTGCTTCGGCCAGAGAAGAATCATTACGTATGAATTATGCCCTGCCTGTAGTGACGCGTCTTAATCAGTCATGGTGCGTGTGCCGCGTGTGTGAAGATGGCTTTGTCACTCAGCGGACATGCACACTGTGTTAGAGCGAAGGCGCCCGGCGCCGTGCCGTGCCGGTGTTGTGGTGCTCGCCGTCTCCCCATCGGCACGCCCGGGGAGCCCGGCCGACCGCTCCGCTTGCTGGGGCGGTCCGGTGCGGCAGGCCCCTGTCGAGATGGTCTGGCCGGAACTTGCAGATAAACGGTAACCGGTGTTGAGGTCTGGCTTGCGGCGGCTGTCGGTAATCGTTGGATTGTTCAACTCTGGATGAAGTCCTATGTTTGGTTACCGCTTGCATTGAAGGAATTTACGTTGAATTCAAAATGTCATGTTTTTTAATATCGTCCTTGTTTATACCAAGGTCTCAATATATCGTGTCATTTGCGATATCCGCATCTATTTAGGTTGGCGCGGCGCGGGGCAAGGTGTTCGGCTTCTCTATCATGCTTGTCAGACAAACACTGGCCTCCTTACAGTTGGTAGCCCGATCATCATGAATCACCTGGAGAAGCGCGGCTTCATCAAGCGATATCCGTACTTGAACGCGCCTCTGCAGGTAAGGACACCGCCCATATTCCCCTCCACTCACTGCGGCACGATAGGAAACGGGCGGTGAAATTGCGAATGTAGGAGTGCGTCACCACGAGACAGCACGTGCCAACTGTGGGGCTGGTTTCATTATCGTGTTATTTGATATCTGTAGGGGCGCACGGGAATGTCAATGGCAGTTAACGGAGCGGCGAATGATTGCGCCTCGAAGGTGCAGCGGCCATTATTAGGTGGCTCTCGTGCGTATCGATCCGAGGGGCTGCACGCTGACCGCGCGCACACCCGGAACGACGCGGCGGCGTACGGCGTACGCCCCGGACCGGACCCCCGGGCGTGCGGCCCGCGGCCCGTTGCGAAAGCCTCTGGCGGTATTCATCCGGCAAGGGCATGCCATGCGTGATGGTCTGCCCTCCCTTCCCCTGTTTAGGTTCACGCCTGGTGTTTTATATTGCGAATACTGGGTGGTGTGATCGATGGCAAGTTTTTGCCGGTGCACGGGCAAACGGGGTTGTAGTTTGCAAGCTAATGTGCACTTCCGATATTTTGTCACCAGCCTTTTTGCATTTGGTGTTCGACGTGTCACGTGTATGTCTCTAAGATGTAGGTAGGCACGTGCGGAAGCGCGTGCTGAATCAATAGTGCTACGGATAACAGCGTTCACCCCACTCACCCTTTGATGTGGTTGGTGAATTCTGCTGAGATCAGACACCAAGCTACCCGATAGTCATCCTGTCGTGATCCGCCTTTGCATGTAACGCTCCCCTGATCCCTGCAGGAGTTTCGATGATTTCCGTGTTAATCAAGCATCATTTCCCGTATGTGCGCCGACATCATACTGGTGCGAACTTGGGTCATATTTGGTCATTTATAAACTGGTGTGTGCCTGCTGGAGTAATTTAACAGAAGCGTGCTTGTTGGACTTGTTTGCTGTGCCATATAGGAATGTGGTTTGGAATCTGGCTTGGAATGCTTCTGATTTTCCAAACCACTGTGGACTTGAAAGACGGGGTCAAAGCAGAAACCTGGCTGGGTATAAAAAGGACAAGTTTCCGTGTGGTCTAAGCCTTGGCGGTATCAGGTATCTTTTTTAAAGTCCAACCGGAGTGAGGCGTTCTATTAGATTCAAATTATATTTTGTATTATATTTTATACCATCGGATGCGAATTAAGACGAGTATTTTATGAGGACCAGGCCGTAGTCTGGCCTGGTCTGAGTCGTGCCTGGTTATCAGACTGGAACGGGCCCTTGTCAGACTGGGACGGGCCCCTGTCAGGCTGGAACGGGCCCTTGTCAGACTGGAACGGGCCCTTATCAGACTGGGGCGGGCCCCTGTCAGGCTGGAACGGGCCCTTGTCAGACTGGAACGGGCCCTTATCAGACTGGGGCGGGTCCTTGTCAGACTGAAACGGGCCCTTGTCAGACTGGAACGGAACGGGCTCTTGTCAGACTGGAACGGGCCCTTGTCAGACTGGAACGGGCCCTTGTCAGACTGGAACGGGCCCTTGTCAGACTGGAACGGGCCCTTGTCAGACTGGAACGGGCCCTTGTCAGACTGAAACGGGCTCTTGTCAGACTGACCTCGATGGCGAAATATGGAGTTGATGAATCGGAGAATTCAGGTGAACCAACATTTGAATAGGGCGTTAGCGTCATGTCTTAATGCAAAAAATATATTCTCGAAATCATCACCAATGAGCACGAGCAACGCGTGAGTGTTGAAATACACAGTGCTCTTGTAAGGTATGTGTGTATCAAAGTCTTGAGATATTGTTATCCACCCGATGACTGCTGTTATTTGGTTATCCTGTATCCGGCAGGATATCAGAATTTACTGTCCGGTTTATAACCAATGCTTTTGATCATATGCATTTAGGTACCTGATTGTCATCTTTGTTTTTGTTTTTAGGCTTGTAAATGTCTGGGCCAGGGCTTGCTTCAAGGAGTTGGTTGCTGTGTTTATCGCGGTTGAGTTGTGGCTTTACGTGGAGGCGCGGCTTACTGGTGGACTCGACAGCAATGCTCAGTGGCGGAGTAAGGTTGTGCACAAATTGAATATGGGTTTACAAGGTGCATGAAAATGCGCATCGGCGTTTATAACTCGGACCGGCGAACTGTCATCCAGATGGATGTGTGCAGCCCTTCTTCAGCAAAGGAATCGAAAGGGGCGCGGTACTTTCCATAGGTAGTTGATAATCGATGCTCCGGTTGTCATGGATACCTGTCGTCGTCGTCGTTCCCCCGTGCACCGCGTTTGAGCGGCCCCATCACCTGCTGTCCGCCAGGTGCTGCTGTGCGGCTTCTTCCTGACGTTCGCCACGCCGCTGTGCTGCGCGCTGTTCCCGCAGCGTTCGTCGGTGGCCGTGTCCCGGCTTGAGCCCGAGGTCCAGGTGGGTGCCTGCCGAGCGCTCCAGCGCTGCCAGCACCGCCGATAGGCCGGCCCGGTCAGCGGCGGCACGTGCTGCTCTGTGGCGCCGCCGCGGCTGAGCGCTGAATGCTCTGAGGAGGCGACTGGGTCGTGTGATGCCGAGACCGCGTCTTGGAAATGGGTGCCCGTAGTTGGCGGGCTCGTTTGACGGAGCTCACGACCCCGTACCACGGAAGCCTGCCATCGGATGACCGCCACTGTTTGAAGTTATCTTGTTGTGTCGATTCGATTGTAAGCAGAAAATTGTGCCGAAATTGTACCGTTTTTCAGTGTTGCAGCGCAGTGTTTTTTGCTCGTGACGTCCATTTTCTAGTGGACTTGCTTGTCATGGCTTGACTTGTTCTTGCCACGTCCACACCTGTCTTTTGAGTTTTGGTAACTGCCGAACGGCCTGCGTGCGTTGCAGGAGGCGATCAACAAGCTGCCGAACCCGCCTACAGTCGTGTACTACAACAAAGGCTTGTAGACGGCCGAGCCGCTGCTGCCGGGGCCGTCAGCGGGCCAGGAGCGGAGCCGCTGACCGCTGGCCGCTGGCTGCTGGCCGCTGGCTGCTGGCCGCTGGCTGCTCTGGTCGGTCACCGTTCGCCAGCGCCGCTGGTGCCGGCGACATCAGGCTGGACGGACGGCTGACGAGCTTAGATCGGTTTTGTGGGACGGAATTATGTACGTGTGGGACGTAGTGGTACGTGCGGCCGTAGGTCGCCATCGGGCTGTACATGTTCGCGTTCGTTAGTGCTGGTCAGAAGCATCCAGATTAGACTAGCTTACGTCTTAAACATGCTAGCACTGCTAACAGAGCCACATCAGATGTGTTGTGTTCAATGCAAATTCTGTTGGCTGGTTGCGCTGCTGAGTCTATCGCATTGAACTTGGGAGTTGGCTCAGATTTGAGAAAATTGGATCTCGTGAAATCGCCGTAATGCCACCCGAGGCCGCCAGTGACGTAATTGCTCGCGCCCTGGCAACTTCGTTGTAATCTGTGAGATGAGGCACCCCGCGAACGGTGCAACTGGCGTATTCACTCTGGCTGTTGCGTCAGAGCGGTGGTCCGGAAGGCGGCGCGATTGGGGCCCACGCAACGTACGTGCTCAGGGGCGGTGCAATATCTTGTTCTCGTCGACCATTCAACTGCCAGTACGCCCGCGCGGCCGGCCGCGCGTGCACCCAAACACCACTGGAAGGTTAAGGGGGTGTGAGCCATCGCGAGCTGTGCAGTGGAGAAATCTCTGTAGAGTCGTGGGTGTGTCAGATGGTAACCGCTCGTGGTATCTTGCGTTGTTAAGGTACCGAATGTTGGGAGGAAAGACGCCCAGTATGGCATTGCGTTCGAATGGGAGAGGCCTTCCTGAAGGCTCATAACAGCGTTTGTGTTAGTTCTGTGTTTCAACGCAGCCGCTCGTTAGATCATGTAAAATCGCTAGTCAAAGTGAGTTTGTTCCGAACGAGTTGTGCGCCGACGAAGTCTTCCGAGCTCATCCGTACCTCAGTGAGATGCGGGCGCTCATTAGTGCGATCGGCCGTGGCGTAGTGTTCTGTAGCGCCAGTGCTCCTTTGACTGCAGCATCGGATGTGTGCCGCGCGTCGCTCGGGAGACGTTTCGCGAGTTGCTGCGCTTCTGAGGGGGAGGAGGGGAGACTTCGGATGGTAGTTGAAGAAGGCTTTGCAGGCCCGTACACACAGATCCATGGCAGCAATAACCACAGAAAGCTGGTCGGTTAGGCGCCCCTTGCAGAGACGTTCACTTAAATTTGTTGTAAGTCGCGTGGTGGCGTCTCTGAAATGTGCATGGGTGCCCCTACCGTTACCAGCGGGGCCGAAATATGTCGCGGTTTCGTACATCAGCTCGTAAATACGGCTGCGTCTCGTCGAACTCGGGCGATAGAGTCCCAAGCAACAGAGCCAGTGTCGCCCGTCATATATTTGTACTCGTGTCCTGACATAACCCCATGAAAAGGTCTGCATTTATGTTGGAGGTTTTGTTAGTATGGTGGCGTTTAGTTGGCATGATCATATCCTGATAACTACAGTGCGGGTTCCGGCATTTTCGGTTGTTAGTGGGTGGTACGGACAGCATGTGTGGTGCAATACATACAAACGCACATGATGCCAAAGTGGTCTTGATGTGTTGAGAGGCGGCAGCGGAATGGGGCGCGGAGACTGGTGTTATCGGCGAAGGCTCTTGGGCCACTCACGAGAAAATCCTGCTCTATGTGAAGTAGGCTTACCATACAGTGAATGTGCTGTCCTTAATGGTGGCATTGCGTAGAAATGCGTGTGCGTGACAACCGCAAACACCTGTTTGAAACATGCTGCTTTGGCGGGGGAAGTGTCTCACGTATAGGAAGACACGTTTGAACAACCGGCAACCAACAGATCAAACGTGTGGGCGAGAGCAGGTAACGAAGCGCTGCGTAAATTTACGCATGCCCAAGCGACGAAGATAAAAAGTCAAAGTAAAAAAGCGCTTGTGGGCTTAGAGGGACGGCGTAAAACTTATTTGTAGTCCCTTCTTAATATTTCGTTAATCGTAGAATGCATCCTAGCATCCTGCTAGTCCTGCCAGCTTGCACCTGTTCGAATTTGAAAGGCTACTTGTGCAGTTATCGTCTGTGATTGCGATTTTTTCCAATCATCGCAGGATGTCTTGTTTCGGGTGTGCTGGCACTTCCCGCGTAAGATGTCAAGGGTGAGGGTGGCCTGCTTGGGTGACCCTGCCGTGGCGCGGCGCCTGGAACCGAGAGGTCTGAGAATTGCACGGGTTGGGCGGGTTTCGGCACAGTCTGCCAACGAGCTTGCAGATATGCTACTTGGAGGATCCTGGAAATGTGCACCATCCGCGCATGTTGTGAGGAACGAAGCAAGGAGTACAGACAGGTCAAAGTGGTGGGGATTTGACTTGGGAATTGATCGGTGTTTGCAGTACCACGACTGAGTTTTTTTTTGTTATATTTTACTGCGTGTTTTTGTGACGTTCTTGAAAAAGAGATACGCCTTTGAAACAGATACGGAACAGAACAGAAGCAGAGTACACTGTAGCAATCTTCTGGATGTTATTGTTTGCGCTTATTGGAAACGCAGCAAAGTTTCAGATGGAGCACCGCGCCTTTCATGCCATGCGGCGCCGACTAATTACATTATACGTGCACAAACCTGGTCGGATTAGTCACGCAGTAGGCATTGAAAACTTGGCCGTAACCGGTTGGACCGGATAGATGCGCCATGTGCGGTACCAGTGAGATTATCATCCACAGTTTGATGTGTGGTGCAGGCCATTCAGCACAAGTTACAAGAATTTGAGTTGTTCGGGCTTGAGGAGGCGGTCGGCGATTCCGTCCAGCTTTGAATTTCCGTTGCATTGAATGTGTACCCCGAGAAGATAAAAGTAAGTAAAACACAGCTGTTATGTGCTTTATGACTAAAAACACAATATTATCCAATCATTTCTAATTTTGTAGGATATTTGCGTCACGCCGCGGAGATCGCCAGCCATTGATACGTCTTTTCGACGACCCTCGTACGACGGTCAAACGCAGCCTAAAATCAGCTGATCGTGGTGGGGGCTCCGGCGCGTCGCAGTAGAATCGTGCTTGTTTAGCGAGGAATAGCGCAAGTTATCTCAGTATTTGTGGTTTAACTACTACATAAGGTAAGTGTCTTGCTTTGGTTTTGATAATAGGTGGTGTAGAGGCTGGTGATGTGAAGATAGAGTGCATTTTCTTTCGGCATCGATCCGCCATCTGCGCCATACTTGTTTTTCCGTGGCACGCTGGTCGCCGCCCTTTTGTCAGCGAAGGATACGAAGGTCGCTCGAAAGACGCGTCCCCATGTGTGGTGGCGGGCCACCCGTGATGCATTGGGGATTGCGGATTGAAACTTGGGGATCGCATGCTGCGGCTTAACAATCGCGCGTAACCCAGAAAAAGCGTGAGCGTGTCAGCCCAGTGTCCTATAAAAAATTGGGGTAATATGTGTCGTCACCGTATTCCCGAATGTATCGCCTCGACGAACACATGTACCTGAACACAGCTAGTGGCGAGAACATCGCTTCAGAGGCCTTTTGTATGCCAGCGATGTCCCCATGATTTGGGATTTGTTTACGTCTGGCTGATGGTGATGCATGAAAATAATGGAATTATACGGCTCGAAATTTGTTGGAGCCTCCAGGCAGTATTTGGGAGCCTTGGTTTGCGCAGTACCAGTGTATATATAATAATTGGGGACCTCGATGAATTGCGGCATACATTGTTAGCAATTTCCCCAGTGGTTAAGACGGGCAAATTCCCTCCCCATAGTTACGCCGCAAGTTCAATAGCGTATTCAGGTTGTGGCCCGGCCACGCGCTCCCCGCGGTCTTATCAAATTTATTTCACGTATTGAGATAGCGTGGATATATGTTGGCGATGGCATATCCGGGAAAGACACGTAAACCTTACCAAACATAGAGCATACAACGCCGTTTACGTCATGGAAGAAATTTTGCGCCCCCGTCGCCCTATATTGGGATTTCAGTTCAATCAACTTTCCGGGTTACGCCGGATTCTGCCGTGAATTCCTGCATGGATCTGTGGCCAAGATTAATGCCCGAAATAGGTACCGGCTGTTTGGCCTAGTGAGCTAAAGCTGCGAAAAAATACGGGCGTGCTGTTTGTACTGAGGATAAGCCAGCGGTATCAACAGCTTTAGTTCGTTTGTTTTTTAATTTACATGAGCCGCAGTCACTGATGAGCGTAGCGTTAGCCCCTCTTAATCTGGCACGATGTATGGACGTCCCCTTAGATGTAAGACTTTTTTAAATGTGCGTAGACCGCGCCACGATTTTCTGTGTGATGAAATGTGACAAGCGAGGTGCAAGGGGCGTATTTTCCTGTTGAGTTTAGGGGGCTGCAGAATTTGTATGTGCCGTGTCTGTGTGCCAGGGGTTGGCATAGTTTCTATTCAATTTTGGGAGGGTTAGGGTTTGGGGGCTTCAGAATTTATGTGCACCGTGCCATTCTGCTTGCCAAGGGTAGGTATAGTTTCTTTTTCAGTTGGGGGGGGGGAGGGGGGCTCCCTTCAACTTGCGCTCCAGCCCCCCCCCCCCCAACCTTTGAGATATAAGTGGGCCAAATCCGTGTGAAAACCGGTGTGTTGGTGTATTTTGGGGATGTGTTTGTGATTTGGCACGCCCCCCCCCCCCCCCCACACACCTCATTTAGGGCACTACGCCCCCGCTAGGCGCAAGGCATTTCTAAGGGACTTCTGGATGCAAACTTGGAAACCAGCGCTTCCAAAAGGGAAGTGAAGATTTGGGCCAGCCGCGATAAGTCCGCTCGCAGAGTAGATAACCTGATGCTCGCTGCATAACAGCGCACGACGGGTCTTTTCTGTAAGTTCCTTCTTTGCATTGCCGCAGATCTTTGTGAAATGTTCTGGTTTTAAATGGTATGTTGCTCCTCATTTACTGCCGTCATAAGTTGCACTCTCCGTGATTTCCGAATGGGTCTTGCCTCCCCCTCCCCCCCCCCCCCCCCACCGCTCCCGCCCCCGCCCCCGCCTCCACCCCGGGTCTTTTGTCGCCTGTCTTAAGGGTTGTTTTTCCATCTTTTTTAGATAAAATCGCTGTGAAGTAGCGTGGTGTTATCTGAAGCACCGCTGCCAGGCACGTGCGCATGGTGCCAGTGATCTTGCTGTTACGTACACATGCATCATGTTTGCATGTTTGCATCATGTTTGCATCATGTTTGCATCATGTTTGCATCATGCGCTGGTGTGACTCGGCCGTGCCGTGCCAGCTTCCTCTCTGGTCAGCCGCCAGAGGGGCGATGAGCGCACGGTTGGGCCAAACGGACCGCCCCCCGTACGACTTAACCCTAGGACCAGCGGACAACCTGTTTTCTGTTTAATCCCAGTGATCACAGGGTTAGCGTCGTTCGTTCGTTTGCACTTTTATCACGTCTTGATTATACGTAACATGTTTTATCACTTCTAGATTAAGTAGGTTTCTCCATCGACAGCGCGGCTCCGCATCAGTGCCTGCCTGACTTATGTGAGCTGGTCAGTAGATGGCGCTGATGGCAGCGGCCGTGTGGCCGCGCTGCTCCGGCCGCTGACGAGGTGTCTGTTAGCAACATTGCCGTAGCATTGCTGGAGCTTGTTATGTGTCCGACTCAGAGGCCTGAGGGGCCGAGTCGGCTCTGAGAGGCCGAGTCGGTTCTGAGAATCTGGGACCGACCCTGGCGGATTGCCTACGGCGATCTTCATGGTAAAGACGAGCGGTGCTGTGCGTGCTCTGCCAGCATTCAGGTGCTGCGCGCGTGCGGTGAAAACGATATATGGATGTGTTCTGCTGCGCAATGTGCAAAAACGTAGCATGTCCTTGTGCACAAGCCGCACCACTTCTGTAACGTGAGCGGCGTGTTTGTGGCGCGGAACATGCCATTGCCAAAAATGCCCTTCTGCCTGTCATCTCGCGGTCGCCTGGTCTTTATTCAAAATTTCTCTCGTGTGTCCATTTCTTTGGTGCCGCTCAATCTGAGGGCTTCGCAGCCTAATTTCCATCAAACGTGTGCTTCTCAACAGACGTTCCCCACTTTGTTTCGAACGCGAACAATTGTTAGGTTTCTTCTTTGTGTAATGCATCAGTTATATCAAGTAACCGTATAGGTGCATCAATAATGCATCAAATAGCAGTACGTGTATCACTGATTTTTAGTAGAAGTTGAGTATTTCTTCATGTTTAATCTGGCGGCTAGGGCATATTCTAACCGAAAACTATACCAAGGGCTGGCTTGCAAATGGTCATGGAGTAGCCGCCCTTTATTGAGCAACGTAGTAGTCATGGTCACAGGTATTATTTGATGCTCTTTATAGGCCCCTCATCCGAATAACCCTGGCGTAATTTTCTATTTCCTTCCCTTTTGAAATATCCCAGCAAAACAAAAGTGTGGGAAAGCCAACATTGGGGGACTGGGGGGCAATTAACGCTGGGTGAGGGGATGGCAACCATCTCAAAAGAATACAGACCAATGTCCCTGGGCTCTTGCCTTTCTTCACAATACTACAAATGTTGCTTTGCGATGTCAACCCTGTACCATATCTCGTACAGTATCCGAGCGTAAAAGGCGGGTTGCCATGACAAATTTGGGGCTTCACACTGATTTAGAGATTGTGCTAATCCTGCGGACCATGTGTCCACACCCGCTTACAGCTACCTGTCTAATGAGGCATGAATATCTGTTGGTTAGAGCCCTTGATTGGCCTTGATACGATGTCGCTTTTTCCGTGCGAATTGAATTACGCCAGTCACGAATGGGCGGCTGTGGCCACCAGCTGGCCAGGACGGCACGCGACAAAAGACGGCTTAACGCTCCTCATCGATTCGACGCGTAGTCAAGTGTCCCAGGGATAATACGTAGCGTTGGCAGCGACCCAAAACTGAAATTTGGAAGACACGATGAAGGTGTATTTTCCATGTTCGATTCATTCAGGTTCGACCAGCCGCGTTGTTTGGATGTCAGAGTCGTTTAGCGGCGATGCCTGGTGGTAATGGTGGGTGGTAGTCCGTGATCCTCCGGACACAGGACCACGGAAAGTTTTAGGTCGGGCTTGAACAGGAATATATGTTTGTATATATATATATATATATATATATATATATATATATATATATATATAATAAAATCGCCTTGCAATATGCATGTGTATCCTGCGTATCAGGCATAACTACGAAAAACACGTGATCACAGTTTACAAGACTGTCCACCACCCATTTCTACGATCTTGTCCTGGTCTCTGGCGTCTTGGCAAGTCGTGTTTTTTCTTCCAGAAATAATTATTTTTATCCGCATTGGCGTTGTTTGGACTTTGGAGTGGTGGTTTTGGTCGTTTATCGCACCATACTGTTGGGCCATTTTAGGTTCTTATTTTCCCGAAGCCTGTCCGAATATTGGTGATGTCTGGCACCGTTTTGGACGAGGATTATAAATTGGTTCCTGTCACAGGCTGCCGTGGCTTCGCTGTTTTTGCTGTTATTACACCGGGCTGTCCTCGTTTCGTCGTGCCACGGCGCCCCGTAGGCCCTCCCTGGGGATGAACCTCCGCATTATTATTATTATTATTATTATTATCATTATTATAATAATAACAATCATTATTATCATCGTCCTCCTTACTATTGTTATTATTATTGTTTTGAAAAGTTCTGGCGACGGTGACCGGCCCCTCACTGCTGCAAGTGGTCGGAGCCACCTCCTCCCATTATCACGCGGCGGGATGGCGCGGAGCTTCCTTTTACCAGGGATCTCTACCCCTATGTTTGTCCCACTTTCGTTCAAATCCCAAAAATACCTCAAAACGACCGTAAAAGACAACAAATTGCAGAAACGGATGTGTTTTCAAATGAAATCAGTTTTAAGCCCGCCCCAGCCGCTCGCGTTGAACTTTCATGCGGTGTTTGCGCGCACTCCACCTTGTAAAAGTCACCGTGGTGGGCATGGCTGGTGGCCTCGGTACCGTGTATGTGGCTGTCAATTTAGGAGGACGAAAATAATGTGCTTCTCATCAGCCTAAACACATCTTGAGCCGTAAAGAAGTTCTTGCCCTCGGTGCTCTACCGTCTACCGTCCTGCTTTTTACAGCAATTCATGACGAAAAATTATTAAATGTTATCCCATGCAGTTTCATTACATTTGCAACTGCTGTTTGCGTTGGTTCTTATTCGCAACCGGCTTTCAAAGCTTTACAACTTACAGCGTCTAAGTGATTATTTGTAGCTTTGTTGAGCTCAGGAAACTGACAGTCGTATTCCATCCCGCGATGTCGGACCAAAAAACCGTGTGTTTGGGTCTTTTGTGACGTCTTGATGCTTCCCATTGCTTTCAACTTCCTTCAACGTGGTCGATTCTAGCGATGTTTAATGTTGCCTGCCGTAAGACCAGCAAGGCACTTGTTGCGAAGGGCGAGCAAGGCGATGAAACATCTATGTGTTATCACTGCGTAGATGCCAAAACATAGCTGAATGCGGCCGGCATCTTTCAGAACCCATGAGGAAAACCCTTATCCCTTGAAAGGAGCTTCCTCTTATGGGTTTACCATGTTGAGGTGTGCAGACGTTGGGCGTTGGCAGCTCGCGCACACATTTAGAAATGACGTTTGAATGTGGACAGGCAATGACATTGTTGAATGTTGGGCCCTCCCAAGGCCCTAGAACTACGGCCCGCCAAGCGCGGGCAATGTTAATCGACGAAATCGATGAATTTTGAAGGTTTGTGCTCTCAGTGACCGACAAAAGTATTGGTGGAAACGTGAATGTTTCGGATGAACATCGTCGTGGTGAACTGGTCTACACGCCTATGTCTGTTGCGCAGTCTTTTCTCCCGCTTCGATCGCGGGACATTGCTTTCGAGACCGGTTCCGGAAAAAGTAACATTGGCCCCTTCCAGGCCTGCTTTGTAGGAGACCTATAGGTCGGAGGGTGTTAAGATGCTTACCGAACTGTAGACGGCTGATTCACCTTCACCGTGCGGATGGTTTCACATCTGTGCATGCCCTAGTTCGCATTTACATTTACAGTCATTTTGTTGAAGACACATCCACATGGTGGTCGCTCTGCGCCTGGTTGTACAAGAAAAAGAACACACACGGCACACGGAGAAGCATACATACGCACAGGTGAAAGCAGTTTCAGTCATTGCGTCAGCGATTTAAAAGTCAAGAACGCCCGGCGCGAGGGGACGCGGACGGCCGCCGCAGGCAGCCGGTTCCGCGCCGCGGCGGCGCAATACGGAAAATGACCGGGTAGCGGTCAGTCGGACGCGCGGCAGATGTAGCGAGCCGACACCGCTCGAAACAGCCCGAGATTGACGATGGGAATTGGGATAAAGCAAAGGTTGCCGGGGTTTCAGACGGATACTTGAAAAAAAACAAAGAAGTGCCGGTAGTGTGGTGGCTAACGCGTCTGCGTTAACACTGCGCGTCTCGGAAATCAGAGGTGCGGGGTTCGATTCCCCGTGGCACCCGCCCTTCCTGCCAGGGTGAGAAGCTGGCGACGCCATATAGCCTCAGCAGCTGAGTGCTTCGTAAAGCCCCACTGACATGACATGGCATGGCTTGAGGACAATCTCGCCATGCAGCGGACACATATCAAGTCATGCTTTGTCCGTACTATTGCCAGTTTTGTCATCAGTTAGGCGTGTTTTTTGCATGTCGCCGCGACGCCTGGCCGTGGAAATCTGGTCGGATTTAGACCCTTTTTCTCCAAATTTTTGCAGTCAACAAATCGTTTAGTATTCTGATCAAATGGTTGGTGTGGTACTGCTATGTTGCGGGAAAACGCTGTCCGATGACAGCTTACATGGCTGCTTGAACACGAATTCCTCTCGCGCAATACAATGGGTCGCTGATTTTTCGTTGTAGGTGGCGTAGCATGTCGTAGTCATGAATGTTGTATTTAACACGCGCCCGGGTGGCCAGCTAGATACCCTTCGTTCGGGTGTGTGTGGGGGGTCAATTTGACCCCCATGAGATCTGGGGAACGAAGAAAAGAAAGCAAGAGACGCCAACTTTACAGGGTGTGTTGGCCTGTACTTGAACTCACTTAGGTCAAAGTTTGAGCATCTTAGGTCATGCCCTTCAGTTCAAATATGGTCAAGCAAGGTCAAATTCCAGGTTGGTCTCCAAAGTGCCCCCAGAACGTAGGCAACTGTTTCTAAGCAAAAGGCTACAAGCCCATTTGGAGTAGATGACCTTGTTTGACCTTTTCAAGGTCATGGTGATTAAAATCATGCAAGACTGCTCTGAGTTTTGCATTTGAATAAGCGACAAAGATTACGCTAGGCGGTATGTTCCTAAAACAAAATGTCGACCCGGGCCGCCTTAGGTCAATGACCTGTTCTGACCTCTACGAAATCAATGGAAGATGTATAATGCGGTTCTTGCATCAATAAGTTCGAAATGACCACCAGAAACTATCCCATACAGTAAGCCCTAGAGTAATAAATCAGGCTGGTTTTGGCCTTGGTCTGGCCTTCGTACCCGACCTTAGGTCAACTTAATTTGCTCACTCAATATTTGTGGTGCCTAATAAAGCATCTCAGAGATGTATGGCTTCGTCAAACACTCCGTTGTTGTATCAGATTGAACGATTCCCCTAGAAATTGCCTTCGCCGAAACCATGGTCGAACTTTGACCTGCCGTAGGTCAGCAATTTTACAAGGTACATCTGATTTTTTTATATCAAACGATCCGCTATTCTACAGCTATGCAAAATTTGGCGCGGCTGCGCTGTGCCGTCGCAAACCATTCTGGAAAGACCTTCGGGGTGGGGATCAATTTGACCCCTCACCCGTGCGCGTGTTAACACTCACCACTCACTTATGAGGTGAGTTGGTTACCACAACAGGTATTGGCTGCTACAACAGACCGCCGCAATTTGCCCCCGAAACGCGTGAAACGACTAAGATAAGAGGGCAAGTAACACTTCCCAGGGTCCGTAATGGAGTTTTTGGCTTTGACATGGAGATAGAGGTCGCAGATGGGTTGGAACTAACCTCCACCCTTATCTGCCCCCTTCCCTCATCCCCACCACGGGGACCGGTGTGGCCCAGAGCCGGATCATCTCACCCCTTACGCATACAGCTAATGGAGGAACATTGTCGTGCCGTGAGACCATGCATGCTTACGACCAGGCCAAGGGAATGTCGCGCTCTGCCGTCTCTGACAAATTACGAAAATCTTGATTTGCGGTCTGTCGACCGGGGCTTCTGAGGTCTCGACAATTTATGATATGGTTAACCTCTTAAATGTGCTTGAAACCAAATTCAGCGATCACGAAGCACGTCGTGTGGAAGGCTGTGACGCCGACTTAAGATACGCTTTTCGCTTGATGCTGACAGGCACTTCCCCGGAGTCATCAAACAATTCTCTTATCTCGTACGTGCGGCACAACAAAACGGCTCGGCCCGTATCCTCTAAACTATGCATCGGGATCATCACTAGAATATTGCACTAAATGTATTCTGTGGACCGAAATGTTGTGCTGTCCTGATCTCTGTTGATGACCTCGCCCCTCCGTTTCAGGTCCGAATTTGCGCTGTCCGCTGCAGATGTGAGATGGCGACCTCCCCGGCGGCCGACGTCGTGGTGACGGGCACCCCCAGCAGCGTGCCGGCCGACGGCGACGACTTCCTGGCGCTAGATGCGCCCGACGAGGACAAGGACTTTAGTCTGCTGATCGAGTCGAGCAAGACAGGGGACCTGAGCAGCGCCCTGCGCTGTGATACCGGCGCGCCGACCAAACGCAAGAAGACGCGCCGCGGTAAGAAGAAACAGCGCCACGGTCCAACAGATGGCGGCACGAGTGCCGGCGCGTCGGGAAAAGATGGCGCCACCATTGCGCGGCCAGGCGACGAGGCCGTTGCTGCGCCGGCTGGCGACGAGCAGGCCACGCCGGCCGTTCCCCATAAGAAGCCGCGCCTGAACCGGCGCCAGCGGCGGCGGCGCTCGGGCCGGCAGCCGGCGCCAATCCTTCGGCCGCTGGAGGTGCCGCGCGCGCCGCTCAATTCCACATCGTTCATCATCGACGACCACGAGAACTCGGCATTCTACATCGATTTCGACGCGGTGGCGCGGCGCACGCCCAACGGCCCGTCGGACGGCGGCTCGCAGCTGGAGTCGTCGACGGCAGACGACGAGGACGAGGAGGAGGCCGCCTACCAGTTCTCAATGAAGGACTTTGAAAACGTGTACCGCCACGCGCGTGAGGAGGAGCTCAGTCAGCTGGAGCGACCCGAACTGGTCGAGTGCGTGCGCTCGTTGGAGACACGCGTGCGCGAGCTTGAGGCGCAGCTCACCCTGTATGACCCCGAGGTGTGGGTGACGAACCTGCAGAACCAGCTGTTGCACCTGCAGGAGGAGAACCGCCTGCTGAACAAGACGCGGGAGGCGTTACAGAAGAAGTACGGCAACGAAACATGATCGCGCGCACCGTCAGTCACCACGTCGACTGCGAAGGAGTCTCGGGCTGTGTCTCATGTACATACCATTATTCGTGTAGCGTTAGAGCTTGGTAGACATTCTGCAGAGGGAGATTAATGTTTATGCCCCCATATCCCATATTGTTAGCAGTGTGTGAGAGCGGCTGTGCGAGGTTGCGGACGTATAGCTCAGCTTATGAGTGGGAAGCGTTCCAAGGTATTACCTGTCTTGCCTTCTGTTCACCCCTGTGACAGTGTCTGAGGGACTCGAACACGTCAGTCATGGGCGTGCGTGAGATGTGTGGTTCCGTTTTTAACTCGCATCAGCAAACACTGTCTCGCATCACCGGTGGGTGTGTGGCGTGCGACGGCGGCCGGACTCGCGCGCAGCCGGTGCCGCGGTGCTCGTGCGGTGTCTTCAGTCGACCTCGGTCGGCTGGAGGTGGACGCTCGACCTCTGACCGCCCTCCGCGGCGCCCGGCGGCACCAACAACAGGCCCGACACGACCCGTGTCTCGTCCCGGTCCCCGTACAGACCGGCCTTAGCCACGGAACGCAACACGACGGCCGAACGATTGCCACGCTGCGGGCGCCCGTCGCTCTTGCTTTGTGCTTGTTTTGCTGCCCTGGTCCGCGTGTTTTTTTGGGGGACTGTCTGCGACCGACAGCTCCCTGTCATTTCTCCCACCGTGCGTCTGGTGCTGTCCGGGGTTCGTTTGAAAACGTCTGGTTTCCGTCGAGTGCTTTGTGTTTATTTAATCGATCGTTTTGTATGCAACATGGCCAAATGACCTCTTTAAAGTTTGCGGGCATCGATTTCCCACCAAATTGTGTACACCAGATTTCTCGTCTTTTTCTTTCACAATCGGGGCTGATGGCATGTTGCATTGAACGCGTTTACTCTTAAGACGGTATGTATATATTTGCGCACCTGGTGCAGCGGTGTTACGTGCTAGAGTGACCATGCGTGTGTTTTAGCTGGGTTGGAATACACAAGAGGAACGTACTTGTGAACGTACTTGCTAATCGTGCTCTTGTGCGTGCCATCGGAAGGCCACATGAACTATGCCTTTAGCCGGGAGTGAAAAACGTGTCGACTTGGTGATAGGGCCGGCGACAGAAAGGTCCACTTTCCCGCGACGTTTGGTGCCAACAATACTTTTGACCGGAAGTTTTGGTGACGGCGACGACAAACATTGCAGCGGGCGTTGAACAACCTGTCAAATGAGCTCCATTGGTAGTGCATTTGGTCCCATAACATCAGCAGGTCTTGCCGAAAAGACCCTGTATCGTACCTTATGACACCGGGTATCTTTCGTACGCTCCATTCTAACCCGGTAACAAAAATATTCCCTGATTTTCAATCAGTCGTTCGATCCGGCCACGGGTCGGCGACAATTCAGCATTTGCTATGGCCCGGCCGGTCGGCCTATTCGCTGTTTTTTTCCAGCGAGCCCTCAGTGACCCTAACTAGATAGAAATTTTGTTTGGCGCGACTGCACGGCATGCTGGACGTGAATCCTCAGTAGCCTTAGGGGGGCGCGCTGGCTCCCCCTGTCGGGGCGAGGCTTAGCATGCTCAGAAACAACAGGTAGGCTGACGAGAAGCTAATAACAAACTTAAATTTAATTTCCCTGTTTGTGGCAGCGGCTGCGTGACAACCTTTTGGATAAGCAACATGAAGACTTGTTGAAATGGTAGCTGGCGGGGGTAAGCTGAGGCGATTGCAGTGGGTCCTTTCAATCACCTTAGTACTCTTCTGGCTCTTAGGGGATTCGTCGCCGGAGCGATTAAGTCATCTTCAAAAACCTCTAGACACTTTGAGCTTCCCTTGCATCGCCTGAGACCCTTCTGGCTGATCGCTGGATACCATCACCGGTCAGAGGCGCACTGAACACTCAGGAGTTCAGCAAATGTCCAAGGCTGCCTGCCAGCTCGGTGCCCGTCTTACTGTTCACGGACCTTGCTCTTAAAGGGCCTGTCTAGCCATTCAGGGATCGTTTTTGCAGGCCCCAAGCAATTCTCCAGCCCCTGACATGTCTTTCTGGCTCCTCAAGGTCTCCACTGAACGAGTCATTCGAGCCATCCCACGACTGACGTCATGGCTAGAGATCTTGTGGGGCGTGGGGATGAGGGTCCATTTTTCCCCGACTCCGTCAGACGCACAGCTTGGGGTTTTGTTGAGCTGTACACAGGGCAGTTTTTGCTGCGTGCAGCGTGAGGAAAGACGTTCGTATTGAATGAGTGGAGCCCATCCTCTGCCCACTCGCCAGGTCCCATTTGGCCACCCTGAGGCCCCTGTTACGGATAAGTGGGCCACAGCGAGCCACCGTGGGCATCCGGGCCGCTTTAGGGACTTAATAGTTACTTAGGGTCCATCTACGATTCAAAAGTCTCTTCAAGTGAGTTACCGGTGGCATCATACAGCTTCAGAAACACTGAACTAGTGCGTCCGCAACCTTTATACCCGCACGCCCCTCTGGACACTTGCGGTCCTTTTAGCTGCAAAGCCCCATTTCCCCTCGGTTACGATCGAACACCTCAGTTGCTTTCAACCTCCGTGCGTCGTATAGGCCCAATGGCAACATCCGTCCATGGACCGCACTGGCCCCTCGGTATTCTGCATACTCAGGGCCCCCCTGGTCGCTCGCGAGCCGTTTTAGCTGATCAGGACCCTTCTGGCCGCTGAGGGGTCTCTCTGGCTGCTGAGGAGCCTCTTGGGTGCAGTCACCCTCTGACAGGTTGAGGACTTAATTGGCCTCACAAACCCCTTGGTCACGAAGGGGAACTTTTGATCGCTTGGGGGCCCTTCCGGCCATCGAAGTGCTCGTTTGGCTGTTGATGGCTCACTGGCCTCTCAGTGATCCATTTGGTCGCCAGAGCATATATCTAGAACTAAACGCGCCTTTTAAACGCATTTTTTGAGGACCAAAAAGTGGTTAGGGGTGCACCAGGCTGCTGAGGAACTGCCCTCCGGCAAATGAAAAGTCCTCTGGCTACTGAGATCATCTCTGAGCTCTCAGGGCCCATGATCCGCTCAGGACCTTATAAGGAGCCCAGCGATCTTTATATCCGCATGCCCCTCTGGATACTCGCGGTCCTTTTAGCTGCAAAGGCCCATTTCCCTCTCAAAGGCCACCTGGTTACGATGGAATACCTCATTTGCTTTCAAAAGTGGGTCAGCCTTATACGTGACCCTTTTTAAGGAGTCCCCGCCTGCGTAACAGTGTGCCGAGAGGTTAGAGTCCTGGATCGGCCAGTGAAATCCGAATGCAGTCAGAGCTCTTGCTATGGGCCATCCTGGAAAGGTTGAGGATTACCATTAACGATCAAAATATATTTTGAATAGCTTGGATTAAATTCTGCTGTTAAAAACGGAGCTGCTGCTAATCACGTGTTAAGTACAGCCTTTGGACACCTTCTGCGCGGAAGGCATATTGAAGCGCGGTTCAAAAGGGCAGTGCATACTGATGTTCAGACACGAATTTGTGTTCGGCTACATTTGCATAAAATTGAAAACCATCTTCAGGCTGTGGTTGAAATAGGGACACGCGCATGATTTCAACAAAACCAACAATTTCACGCCTTCGGTGCGTCCAAATCAACGGCGAGCTGTTGAGTTTCTGTATGGAAAGGGCAACAGAGACGGCTAGAATCGGTCGTAGTTGGTTTGTGTCATGCAGGTGGAAACATGCTATTTCGTTATTCAAACGGCAGAAAATCACGTAAGTTGTCCAGTACATTAGCAAGGAACATTATTCACATAGATAAGACAGTAGTATTAGCCTCATTCCTCAGATAAAAACCAGGAGAATGAAGATAGAGTTGGGCTGATATTTTGGTAACATGCCTTTATCGAAATAATGGCAGAAATGAATTCAAAATTGCCTGCCGGTGATTCTACTCGATTTTTCAGTTGTTTTTTTTTAAAGGCAAGTCACAGTTTTTACTGGAGACCAACATTGAGCGGGTTGAACAAAGAGCGATTGCCGGCCATTACCGCGATGCAGTGCCTATCTAGGAATTAGAATACACGAACATACGTATTCTGATACACGCAAACGAATTCAAGCAAGTGGGCATCACGCATCACGCTTCACTCAGTCATGCAAGCGAGTTGAAATAAACAGGCACCACACATCGCGCTCCAATTATACATGCAAACGATTTCAATTGAACAGACATCGCGGGTCATCTACGCATCAGGTATCACTAACACATGTAAACGATTTTAAGCTAGCACGCATCACACATAGAGACACATATCACGTTCGCATAATCGGCCATGATGAGCCCTGTGTGTTAAGATTTGGTCGCCGACTTTTTATAAGAATAGATTCACTTATTTTCCTGTCTGGGTGGTCCTGTGCTCTGTAAACCAACCAGACAGGAAAATAAGTGAATTTGTTTTTGCCTCAGGTGCGATGGTGGAAGCTTTGGTGTGGTATAGCGGCCTTCTCTGGCATGTGTTCTGTTCACAGTAATGTGGTGAACTATGTACGGTCAGCTCAGAGATGCAACTTGTGTGTGGTCGTTTAAGTGTACTTTATTGCCGGCACGGGCTATGTGGCATTCCATGTAAACCATTGGATTACTGTTAAATGCTGTGGCGCTTGGCGCATTGCGATCTGGAGTGCATGTACGTTGTGTCTGTGAAAGAAGGTGGTATCGAAAGTTACACAATTAGAACAGATGTGGGGTTTTCGGAAAATTTTGGAGAACAAAGCGAAGCTTGGAGCCGTGTGGAACTGTGAATAAGGCGGGAAAATTTGAGAAATGGTCGAGGAGAAGAAGAGGAGAGTTGGAAAATAAAGTGGTGTAGAGGAAAGTCTTTGTAAGAAGAAGATGGGGACACAGAGCGCGATACAGGCTCCCCATGAAAAACCCCAAAAATGTATCGGATTTTACCTTGATTTCGAGAGGTCCCAGCTTTCTTCACCTTTTTATCCAGTTACCCAGTCGGCTATGGGGAGGGGGGGGGGGGAAGGCGTGGATAGCGCACTGAGAAGGTAGACATACAGATGCATGGTAAACTATACTGCACTTGTAGATGGCAACACGCCAGGGGAGAGACCATGTCTCTCCCGGTCAGTGGCTCAAGAACCTTTCTATCCCAGCCCAAGGTACTCATCAGCTGACACCTCGTTACACGGGGACTTGGCCCCCCTTATCCATCCGGAGGTCCTCAGAACATAGGCGTAGGAACGTTTCAAAAAGTGTGGTGGGGATAAGCTCAGGGCGCACTTCAGGAACTTTTTTCTGGAAAGCAGGCCTGATGACCGGGAAGGGGGTTAGAAATGGAGGTTGTTATCGCTCTTTATTTAAATGTCACGGCTGCTATGCTAGATATGCATCTAGAGCTGTTTCTCCCTGGTGCACAATCTTGCCTATTCAACTCATGTATCTCGTATGGCAAATAAGGTTATCCAGCTTCCCAAGGTTATTCGTCCATTTCACATTGTTTCAGAGTTCACAACAGAAACCTGAAGCTGCCGTGAAATTAATTCAGTTTGAGTTTTGAAGTCAATAAACTGCAGAAATCAAGCGATGAACGATCGCATAAAATAAATCACCGGCGCCCTTAAACAATGGTTACAATGGTTTAGTGGACCATCTCTAAATCGATGGAAGTCAGAAGCCTCATCAGAATGTTATATCTGCGCTCTGCAGACATTAAGGACGACGTGAAGGTAGATTGTAGATCGATATGTTTGATCGAAATCTGAAGATGAAAATTTGATTCTAGATTGAGTGGTCAACAATATATATTGACATGGCCAAGCCATGTTTGTCTAGAAATGCTCACTACATTCAGTCAGAATCGCTCAACGATACAATTTATGTAGCGTGGTTTTTTAACATACGCGCTTTCAAATCTTTACAACAAAAATGTCGATACCAGGCGTTGCACTCTCCACAGTCCGCGGACCCGTTAGCCCAGTGGTTAATTTTTAGCCGTGGCCCACCGGTGGACGACAATGGTGGTGCTTCTGAAGTT